AAGTCGTAGTGCCGTCCGATCATCTTCTGATCAGGTGAGTGTGTAGTCACTTTCATTCCAACGCAATATTATGAAGTATTTTATATAAAATACGTGTTATGTGTATATATTTTGTTGTTATACGTGTGAGTGTATATTCACTCTCTTCTATCTCATAGATCTGATTTATTCTCTATGAAATACGTGTTATATGTGCGTGCCTCATCTATTATGTGGAATATGTGTTGATTAAAGCATGCTATACAGGTTTTTACACTATGTACAAAATGTATATTTTTTATCTACTAATATGTTGGGTAGAACATGGGTAGATAGTTGGTGTGTAATAAACAGATGAGAGGCCTCGGTGTTGTTGGTTTTATTCTAATCATTCAGCAGAGTATGGATGATGACCATGGACTATTCTAGACTGTCCTGTGGAGCACCAGCAGGCTCATTACCTGTAGGTGTTGTGAACGACGTGTTCACCGGTGTACTCTATCCCCCACATGGTTGCCTTTAGGACACTTATTGTTGAGGAAGCCCCTCTGTAGTGATGTTCGTCCCGATGAAAATCCTGAATTAGGTTCCTTATAATAGATGTCATTTTTAGGAACGTAAAGTGAGCATAACGGGAAATGGGTAATCGGGTTTGTGGTTGATTGGTTAATTAAATATAATTATTTATTGTGGGTTGAAAACCCTACATGCTCACCAGGCTCCCAAGCCTGACCCACTCAGTTTATTTGTATTACAGGAAGTGGCGCAAGAGCTTAAAATGGACAAGTCATCAAGTTGTTTTTGTTTACAAGTCTGTACATGTATATATTTGTTGAATGACTTGTAATGTTATTGTTTATGCTTTATGATCTGTATCGGAACATGACATCCCGACTTTTGATTATGAAATGAAATCATATTTCTTTATGAAATGTTTTGATAAATATCTATTTTATCATGTTTTGTTTTTGGGAACAAATTCCACATCTCCTTTAAAAATTAAAAGGATTTACTCTGAAAATATTTAAAAAGCATAAATGAAACCGGTCTTTTCTGGCCGAGATTTTGGGGATGTCACACCTTCTGGTTCCCAGATCTCGAATCAGCGGGTTTGGCCCGCTTGGCTGTCGGCTGAGACTGAGCTGGCCGCCGATCCCTATCCTGAGACTCAGCCTCCTCCCTGGCTTGGGTCTCCAGCTCTATCTCCCTCTTCCGGGAATTTTCCTGAAGCTCGACAAATGTCCGGTATGTCGAGTTCGCCACGAACTCACGTATATCCCTCATCAGAATGCTCAAATATCGGCTCATACGTGCCTGCTCGGACGACACGTGCTCTGGGAAGAACATCGCCCGCTCATGGAACATCCTCGTAATCACCGTAACAGACTTCGTACCCTGCTTGAGGGTCAGAAACTCCTGGGCCAAACGCTCCCTATCCACCTGGGGAACGTACTCATCTTGAAACATAGCAGTGAACCTCTCCCAGGTCACCGCAGCAAGCTCAGCAGACGTAAAGTGCGCAGTCACAAACTTCCACCAGTCCTTCGCTCCCAAGCAAGGCTGGTTCAGCGCGAACCAGACTCTCAAATGCTCTGGAGATAAGCAATTAAAGAAACACCCCTCTATGTCTGAAATCCATCTCATCGTCGCGATCGGGTCCTGGGTCCCATCAAACTCCGGTGATTTTGTGTTGCTGAGCTCTCGGAACAACAACGCATCACCACCCTGCGGCCTAGTCGCAGCTATAGCTGCAGTGGCCGCAACAACGACGGCCTCAGAAAGAGCAGCGTATCTCTCATCAAATGTCTCCATCAGAGTGGTCTTGATAGACCTGAACATCTCTGGTATCTCTGCCCTGATGTCCGCAGCCACCTCCTCCTGGATGATCCTACGGATCTCCTCATCACTCGAACTGCCGATCACTGGTGTGTGGTGTGTCCCAACCATGATCTCCTTCTGAAATACAACATAAGAATATTAGAGACCCTTTTCGAGTATATTCACACTCAATAACTCCACCCTACTCGTTCCTTGGTGCCCAAAGGATTCTTACTTGGACTGCGTACCAACCCGGTATCTTCAGTAGTACGGGCCCAATACTACCGTCCATACTGCATTGGCATTCATCCCAAGTCCTCCTCCTTGAGCCTCAAATCCCAAGTACTCTACTCTCTCTATCATGTGCTACTTACTAACAAAACTTTCATAAGCACCTCGCTGCTATCTAAATCACTCTTAAGCATCTCTAGCAACAAAATCCCTAGACTAAGGCATTATATATCAGGCCACTCTAGTCCTAATAAGAATACCTAGTCTACTCTAGCATACATATCGTAACTCATCATATAGCATACATAATATATCTGATGATCATTTATTATGAGGGTATTTTGGGAAATCACCGTTCGGGCGTTGGCTGATCGTACACACGGCTCTGCTCTGTTTCTCAAGACTCTTTTTACTCTTTTTCAAAAATATTATTTTTATTATTAAAAATTTCCTCAAATCCCCAGTTTGAGTTCAGATACGCCCGAAGATATATCCGAATCCCTCAAACCAAGGCTTTGATACCAACTTGTAACACCGTAAAAATTTGAACAATTTTTCACTTTTGTAACCCATAAAATATCATTTGAAATCATAAATAAAACACTGTATCAACATTGCATTAGTACAAAACCCAAGATCAAAGTACATATAAAAACTCTAGTGTGTGTGTGTACGAATCATGTCGGCGCCTTCCTGCTATCATCACTGGTACCTGAAACACATAACACATAACACTGTAAGCATAAATTCTTAGTGAGTTCCGCAAAATATCACTCTAACACATAATAGCCACTCGAGGCTGTAACTTTGTTGACCCTCAGGTCTATGTGTCTCAGTGGGGCCCTCCAGCCCCAACTCTCTATGGTCACTCTGGCCCTAACTATGTGGACCCGAAAGTCCTAACTCTGTGGACCCGAAGGTCCTAACTCTGTAACTCTGAATCATGCATAGCACATATCACAATAAATCATAGCACATAAATAACATGCAATTACACTGGCATATAACTCTAAAATACTCTATCACATAACTCTGTTACCATACTAGGTAAAGTATAGTGAGAAGACTCACCTCGCTTATCTCGGTAAATATCTGTCTCGGAATAAATGTGATCTAGCCTCCAGCTAATCACACAAAGTAATACACTCATAAATACAAGTGAACTCAACCCTAATGGTCAACAAGGTCAACGGTCAACTTTGACCTCACTCGGCGAGTTCGCTAGAGCGACTCGGCGAGTCTATACGTGTCCACTGACCCCCCCCCCTTGGATCCTCTCTTGACACGCCGAGTACTTCTCTGACTCGACGAGTTTCACCTGGTATAAATCGCGGGGCCACCACGACTCAACTCGCCGAGTCTCAAGAACAACTCGGCGAGTTCCGGCTTGACTCAGTCCCCCCCCCCCCCTTGACTCTCTTGACTCACTGAATCGACCCCTCAACTCGACAAGACCACTCGCTGAGTGTTTACGGGCAAACTTCATGCTACTCGCCGAGTCTATTCTTTAGACTCGACGAGTCCATGCCATGCATAAACTCAAACTCACTTCTAAGGTCAGATCTATTCCATACAATCATAGATCTGGCCTCTCCAAGCATGATAATCACGTAAAGTCCAAACCTTGGTGCTCAAACAACAACTATTTGCTCCTAAATGATGTTTTAGCCCCATATATCATAACTCTTGGTCAAAACTCCCATGAATACTCATAAAGCTTAAGGAATAAAGCTTCTCTGGACCTTTATGGATCCCATTTCAAGTCTCATCACAAATAGGGACTAAATGGACATCAAATCTAACCAACAAAGGGGTCAAGAAACCCTAAACCCCCATGTTCATCGTAATAACAGAAAAGGAAGCTAAAATATACCTCCAAGATGATGCTCTGAGCTCCAAAATCGAAGGATGTCCACCTCCCTTGGCTCCTCTTAGCTAGAATCTCCTTTGCCTTGCCAAACCAAGCTTCAAAAGTCAACAATGGCTTCTTACCTCTCCCAAAACGCTCAAAAGCTCTTTAGGGTTTCTCTCTGGGGTTGGTGGCCGCAAATGACGTCCATAAGCCCCTTTAAATAGGTCTCAAACCCTAAAAATTAGGGTTTCATTTAACAGCGTGGACTCGCCGAGTCTCCTCACAAATACCAAAAATAAAAGAATAAAATAATACCTGGGAATCCGAGGTGTTACAGATGTGGAACGTGCTTTTGGAGTTCTGAAGTCGAAATGACACATAGTTGAGCATGCAACACGACCATACCAGTTAGACGTTCTACAAGATATTATGTATGTATGTATCATAATGCATAACTTGGTGGTTGAAGATAAAAGACGAAACATTGCGGAGTATTGGGCTTCGGAGCCCAGACACATGTCATTTCAACCCGGGACAGCGGAATATTTACATAGGGTCATTCAAGACGCACGAAAACACAGACAATTTCGAGAGGAGTTGGCTGATTTTATGTATGATGAAAAAGAAAACAAATAAATTAAGGGCAAAATGTAAAAAAATTTTAAATGTTATGTTTTCGTAATGTTTTATTAAATGTTTAATTAAAAAATAGGTTTAATTGAAATAACATGTTTTAATTAGTTAATTAATTTTGTTTAAAAAATAAAAAATTTAATCGAAAAAAAATTAAAAAAAAGAAATGATGACATGGAAAGTTAAAGATGTTATAATTAGTTGCCCATTTCCTCCGTTTGGTGTTATAACACCATAATGACATGGCATGTGAGGTGATAATTTTTTAGTGCGAAATCATCCATTAACTAATTGTCCACACTCACTGGTCTAAAAAGCTTGTTCTTTGTGTCCAACTTTGTTCCACCATTTTTAGGTGGGACAAAAATTAATTGTATTAGACTTATTTGACTTGGTCAATGTCTCATCTTATGCTTGTTCGGTCCACACCAAACACCTACTAAAACAAGATTTTTCTATTCGGTCCATATTTGTTCCATGCACCAAACGCTATCTAAAGAATAATTTTTGCAAATATTATAATAAATTAATTATTCAAAAATTTAAATTACATTAGCTTCCTGACTCTTTGAGTTTACAAAAAAATTTAGAGAGATAAATCAACTATCTAGCATTCAAAATCGAAATGGTAAGTTCATTGGTTGAATCTTTTCCATATGTACTCGTGGAATAACTAGTATCCGTTGAATTTTTTTCGTAGAAGAAACCTGGCAACTTAGGTTGAGGCAATTCACCCTCACTACTCCCCAACATTAGAACCACAGTCGCCATTGTTGGTCTGTCTTCAGGTCTCTGTTGCACACACAACAACCCCACATGGATCGATCTCATCACTTCCGATAAATTCATGGATTCAATATTAATACATTCTTCAACCAGTTCCAAAGATTTCCCTTCTTTATGTAATCCCCATGCCTGAAAAAAAAAAACAAAAAAAAAAAAAAAAACGCATTGAAGAAGATGAACAGTGGTTAATTCAATTGAAAGTTGAAACAAAAACTAACATGTCCGATAAGATTGTGGGTGTATTCTTTATGAAAGAATCCTCTGTTTTTCTTCCCACTCACAATCTCCAGCATTACAACACCGAAGCTAAATACATCTGATTTGATCGAAAAGATTCCATCTCCTGCATATTCTGGTGCCATGTAACCACTGCATTGAATTTATTGGTTAAATTTAAGAAATTTTATTAAATTCGGGTATATATATATATATATATATATATATATATATATATATATATATATATATATATATATATATGTGTGATTGATGATTGATGATTGATGATTCTCACTATGTTCCAACGACTCTGTTTGTGTTTGCTTGTATTTCATTTCCTCCGAAGCTTCTTGCCATTCCAAAATCTGATATTTTTGGGATCATTTCATGGTCAAGTAAAATGTTGCTGACTTTAAGATCTCTATGGATGATTCTTAATCTTGAATCTTGATGAAGATAAACAAGTCCCCTCGCAATTCCTTTTATGATCTCAAAACGAGTAGCCCAATCTAGTTTTTTGCTTTTAGTTCCATCTGTAGGAGGTTTTACATCTAAAAGTTAATAAATGTATTTACATATATTTGTTTATTATAGAATCCCACTTTCAATTTTTTGAATACAACATTGTATTTTCTTTATTGAAAGTACAAAAGAAATGAACATAGGATGCTATAGTCAAAAAATAATTGAAAATAAGTTGTTATTTCTAACATTTAACCCTTTTTTTAAGGTATTGTACTTGAAAAATCTACCCAAATATAAAAATATATTGTCATTATTTTTAATCAAATTAGAACATTATACTTTGAAAAATCTACCCAAAAATAGCAATGGTAGATTTTTTTTGTATACAATGATGTTATAGGAAAAAAAAACAAACAAAAGTAGGATGCTATAATCATACCAAATATAAAGGAGTCGAGGCCCTTGTTTGACATGTATTCATAGACCAACATTTTATCTGCTCCCTTGATGCAACAACCTAAGAGCTTTACAAGATTTCTATGTTGCAATTTAGAAATACAAATAACTTCGTTCTTGAATTCATCAAGCCCTTGAGTTGAAGTTCTTGAAAGCCGTTTTACTGCTACTTCTTGTCCACCTTCCAACACGCCCTGAAAAATACCTTTGAGGTAAATGCTTCTTTCTTTTCGACTTAATGAGTTAAGCACTTAATATGGAAAAACGATACATGGTTGGTTCTTTTGGACTTAATCTGGGTATAATAACTTAATTGGTTAAAAACAAAGACCTCGCTTAATGCGTTAAATATAGGAATATCTATTTATATATGCATCGAATATTAGGTTATGCATTTTTTTACCTTATAAACAGGTCCATAACCACCCTCTCCAAGTTTATTGTTATCTGAAAAGTTTTCTGTGGCTTTATCTAATATAGAAAATTCGATCAATGGTAACTCTAAATCATCTTGTGAGTTTTGGTTGTTGTCAGGATCATGTCCATGGTCTTCTTCTAGTAGCTCTGTTAAATAGCGAATGTCAGTTGAAGTTTATAATTGGAAATTTTGTGAGAAATAGCAACGTACTTTGCTTTTTTAGTGGGTAATATACCTTAGTTTTTACCTAATAACAACATGTGATTTTATATAGATTTTTCATTTGAATTTTTACAACTTTTTTGCTTATTTGGCATCAACCTCTTAAACCGTTTTGTTCAAGATAAATATTATTATTTTAGTAGTATAGTTTTATAATAAGATTTAAAATATTAAACAAGTTAAATAATGATTGATAAGCCATATGCTTGAGAAGTCTCGTTTTGACATGTAAATACATATATATAGTATCATTTATTATGATCTCTTTTATAAGTTATATTTGTCTCGAACTAAAAAAAACACGACTAAACTAAATATCGTTTACCTTTAGATTGAAAATACTGACAACCACCATTTAAAATTAACAAAATATAAAATATATTTTCTTTGTAATTATGCAAAATGCCAATTTATCTCCAATTGGTTGAGCATAACTCTATTATCATCTACACATGGGGATACACCCAACTAAGTTAAAAAAAAATATATTATAATCAATAGAAAGATATTATAGGTAAAAGTTAAAGTATATTGCGTAGATTGTTAATAAACACAAAACATGTTACGATTTTTAGTAATTTGAAATTCAATTCAAATTTATAGATGATTAAAAAACCAAAATAGTTACCTTGAATTGGCTTCTTCCTCCTCTTCAATCCATAAAATACACAAACAGAAACTAGTATGATCAATAATAATATCGATATTACAAGGACAGAGATCTCTACCCTTCTCTTAACACTCGAGCTTTTACCATTTATTTCTGCGATAACAAATATTTCATGTTAAAACAATAATCAAAGTAATTAACGAAAACAAACTAAAATTAATTAATTTATTTACCTCCTAATTCCGATTTTGGCATTCTTATATAAATATCCTGTCCATTTTCTGTATATACTCTGTTATCGATAAGATCCCCAAACCATAACAAGCATCCACTTCCACTTCCACTTATATTCTGAGTCGCATAAGCACTACAAGAACAGTTCTTCTTGCAAACCTTCTCACATTCATCAAGATTCATACTCTGGTTAAACCTCGACCACCGTGTGTCAGGCAATTTCACGTCGGAATACTTCTTAAACCCTTCCTCCGCCCCACACTCCAAACGGGTTTTCCGGCGACACCCTTGACTAAAATCCGCCACCGCCCATTGCTCCTGTGACACCGGCTCAAACCCTTCCAGACACCCACAAGCTGGCGAGTTGTCGATATTGCAGCTCCCGAATGGACCACAGAGATTGAAACGATCGCAGTTATCAGTCAGTGGAGTTAAATAAAGAAACCATTCTTGTGTTCTTTCGATCCATAGCAGCCGTTCGACGCTTCCGGTGGGTGTTACGATTAATTTAGTGATTACTGAAGTGTTGATAAGTTCGTAGTGGTAATACATTTCTTTTTCATCGAGAACAAACCCAAATCTGTAGATCGGGTTTGGTTTTAAGTTAGGCTCTCCGCTGAACCTAACGCCGTTCCATGGACCTGCTCGGAAAACGAGACCGGAGTTTTTCCAGAGGGTCAGCTGTGGGTATCCTTGAGTATAGATCGACACAGTAAAGTTGCCTTCGGAAGGATCTCCGTCGCTCTTCCATGACGTGAAGTTTCTTTCGACTCCGGTGACTAGATCCTTTCCGAATTTCATTCCGGGAAGAAACGTGTTCGTCGGAAAATCAAAACTTTGCCAAACAGGATTCCGATTCTCCACGTCGTCAACGTCCCGGATGATGAAGTTACCGGTATCTAAAAGGTGAGCTACCGGATTTCTTACTGATGAATTTTTCGACGACCAAATGAGGTCGCCGGTGGCGGAACGGATCACCAGGGTTCCTTGTAGAGTGAGAGACAACTCGCCGGAGGTATTGGTGAGTGGTGTGTTCCGGTTAGCGACCCATATAACTGTTCCAGATGAAATTCTCTTGTACCAGATTCCGACGTAGCGGTTTGTGGAGTTGGCTGGGCTGAAGAAACCGAGCTCGAAGGTTTCTTGAGCTGAAACGATGGTCTCGCCGCCTGGTTCGTCTCTGATAGTTTGGTTTGCAGAGATGGTGTCTATCGCCGTGGTACAAGTTACCAATGCAGAAAGTACAATGATGCAAAACCAGAAGTTGGTAACTTGTCTTTTTTCCACCATTGATGCCAGCGTCATCCACCAACTTCTCATCAAATTGAGTCCTAATCATTTCTCCATTTATATTTCATATATGGTTCGATAAGATATCTTTGAATTGAATTTTCATATTTTCTTTGGTCTTTCATGGCGATCGGAATGTTGACTGCAAGGAGTGTGTGATGATTAAATGTCTGAAAAGTCAAGCTGCATTTGTTTTGTTTTTGCCACTTGACTTCGTCAATTTATTTAGGGGTAGATATGTAGTGATGTCTTTATCTTTAAATGTCATTTGTCTTAATTCTATTAAAAATTGTTCTCAATCTTCTCAAATTTATAATTGTTGCCGTTTATATATATATATATATATATATATATATATATATATATATATATATATATATATATATATATATATATATATATATATAAAATAAAGAAAACAAAAGATTTTATACATATCTCTGTTTTAGCAAACATATTTGCCATATACACTTTCTCCAATTTCTGGTTTTTTAGTAACATATCTATTTTGATTTAAATTTAAATAAATAAATAAATCAAACATATTCCAATAGGATAGTATTTTCTAAATCATTGGAGACTATCATTCGTCTTATTTCTTATAAAAATTATTCTCAATCTTTATATTGTGAATCTGAGCACATTCACATTTAAATATGTCAATGAGAATCTGAACAGATTTACAATGTGAATAATAATAAGTCAGATTCACATTGTGAATATTAAAATTGAAATATTTAACAGTTCATATTCACACTGTAAATCTGAACTGATCGAAGTTTTTTTTTAATCGTTGTTGATGTTAATTAATAGAAAGCAAAAAATTGAAAATTTTGGTATAATTAGTTTTTTCTTTTTTTATAAAAATAAACTTACATTGTGAAAAAAAAACAACAAAAAGGAGTCGGTTTTTTTCAAAGAAAAATTGTTTTTTATATATCAAAATGAATCTTTATAGAAAAAAGATGGGAAATCGTGAACACTGGTACATTCTTTTTTTTTAATAAAAAACTTGGCTTAAACGAATTTAAACGAAAAAAAAGGTGGGTCTTTGGTAAAAAGATGGGTTTTATGGTATAATCCGGTATATGTGCGTCCAATTTACAAGTGTACATCCATTCTTTTGGCCGTTGATCGCTTTAAATTTTGACGTTCATGATTGGTTCCTTGGTTCCTTGTCAATAATATATGGAAAAGTGAAAATACCCTAAGGGTATATAAACTTAGGTATTCAAACTCACGATAATACGTTGTTTTGTTTTATATATTCATTATAATGTTGTTAAACTTCAACCTCAAACTTGATTTACATTCAAGATTGTTAATTTTTCACTATTATCTTCCTTTTACATCACATCTTTTTGCCGAACACCTACTAGGTTATGTATATATTATAGTTGAAAATAAAAATTATGTAAACTGAAGATAAATATGAAAATTATAAAAAATCTTGAAAATATATCAAGTTACAAGTTAAATTATAAGAACATTGGACAATTACAATATATATATATATATATATATATATATATATATATATATATATATATATATATATATATATATATATATATATATATATATAGATTCAGTTTCATTTGAGACCATTTTAATTTTGTGAGACCATGATACCAAAATCTAAAAATAACTTTAAAATGCAAAATAAAATGAAAAATCCAAAATTTCTTTTTTTAATTATTATATTTGGAACTTTAATTACCTAAAAAAAATTACCGTTTTTTAAATACGTGAAATATTTTAATAGAATATTACATTGTAAATATTCTAATGTGGATTTTTAGAATGCTAGAATATTCTACTAGATTTGTCAGATATGTAGAATATTCTAATATTCTATTAGAATATATAAAAAATATATTTTTTTTTTTATTTTTTTGGTATTTTTTTTTTTTTTGGAAAATATAAATTCCAAAAATAATATTTGAAAAAAAATCAAAAAATTTCAATTATTTTGAATTTTAAAAATGTTTTTTTTATCTACCAAATGAATGACTAGAATTACATTTCACGATCTCACAAAATTAGACTGTCTCACGTAAACCTAACCCTGTATGTATAAGTTGAAGGAAAGAAAGTGATCCCTGAGATAGAGGTGTATATTGGTGCGTCGTGAAGACGCCAAGCTTGAGTTTCCTACTCCTCACGACATTTCGGTGCGTCGAAGAAACAAGACTTGCAAGGTTGCGTTTCAAGACTTGTATATGGGCTTTTCTTCGGAAGCAATAATGGACCAAATGTTATCTTTTGACTAAATATTGTTAAAATAGGTTTTGTTTCATGGTTTTACGGCTAGGTAATATTTTGTTTTTCCATATTAGAATTCATAAGTTGGCTTTTTAACTATTTTTATCATCGTGTTCATGTATTTTTGTGGGTTTACATTGTAAATTAAGTTATACATATACAATAAAAAAAAGATATTAGACGTTAACTTTCTTTCATTCATGTATGTTTGTGGATTTACATTATAAACTAAATACTAACATATACAATAAAAAAAGATATTAGATGTTAACTTTTTTTTTTTTCAAAAAATAAAAAGAAAATTAAAAAATTAAAAGATAAAAAAATGAAGGAATTAATAAATTATAACTAAAAGATAAACTATATTTTTTTTTTTTCAAAAAGGCTTGTCATGACATACAACAAAAACAACTAGTTCAACAGTGTAATTTTTTCTTAAATTTGTTATTTCTAGAACAAAACCGTATAATTTTTTCTTAAATTTGTTATTTCTAGAACAAAACCAGTTAAACAAACACAAGACTACCAAATCAAAAAAAAAAAAAAAAAAAATTGTAAGTATTTTTTCCGAACACCATGTCATTCGGATGCATCCAATGAACCCAAATCAAAGTTGTAGAAACATAATTAATTATATCCTTTGTGAAATATAAAGGCCTCTAGTTATCAAGCCAACATTAGTTCTAATGTCCGAGTAAATTACACAAATGGTCCCTATGGTTTAGGATAATTTGTATTTTTATCCCTAACTTTTTTTTTTAACTCGGAATGTCTCTACTGTTTGTTTTTGTTACACGTTTGGTCTTTGTCTAACCTAAAAATACTATTTTTCCCTTGATTTTTTAATTTATTTAAATAAACACACCCCAACCTCACCCCTATCACCTTACTTTATCTACCCCACTATTTTTCTCTCTTTAAATAATAGTTTTTTAGTTAAGACAAGGATCAAGCGTGTAACAAAAACAAACAGTAGGAACCAAACGTGTAACAAAAACAAATAGTAGAGACCTTCTGACTTAAAAAAAAATAAGTTAGGAACCAAACGTGCAAATTACCCCAAACCATAGGGACCATTCGTGTAATTACTCTAAATTATTATATTAAATAGAACTAGAAAAGTGTCCCCCGCGGGGTCGGAAGCCTTCAATGTTGTTTTTTTGTTATAGTAAATTGGTATTGTGTTTAATATTCATTAGCTTGATTACCATGTTTGTGTCAACTGCAGAGTAGGCCTATGTTCTTATTACAAACCAAACCAACGAAATTTCATAAAGGGAAACTCAATTTCTTTTCAAAAGAAACCGGAAACCAAATTCAAAACCTACCATACCATATCAACGATATAGCGGTGGGATTCAATGCCTAAAGAAACATCTAGAAAGAAAATGAGCAACACCCAACAAAACCTTACATCTCAATGCACAATAGCCAACATCTTAAGTGGAATTCAACCGTGTTGCTTTATATCAACATTTGATATGGATTTATCCTGCTTGAAGGAATTGGTAACTTTCTTGACAGTGGTTGCCTACCCTCATTCATCCTACATAAAACAATAAAAAAAAAAAAAAAAAAAAAAAAAGGGGGGGGGGAAGAATTCGACATTAAGATAATTAGTTTGCT